TATATATACAGTTGAAGTCAAAAAATTTAGCTTAAAGGGGCTAATAATAAGAAAGAAATAATTCGTCCTTAAAATGGTGTTTAAAAAATTTTAAACTGCTTTTATTCTAGCCAAAATAAAACAAATAAGACTTTCTCCAAAAGGAAAAATATTATCAGACATACTGTGAAAATTTCCTTGCTCTGTTAAACATCATTTGGAAAATATTTAAAAAAGAAGAAAAAAATTCGAAGGGGGCGAATATATCTGACTTCAACTGTGTATATATATATATATATATATATATATATATATATATATATAATAGTAAACGTTTAGTATGATTTACCATCAGACATTCTTTTTTAAATAGTTATGTTTCTGTTTTTTGGAGTGTATGTAAACTTCTGGTTTCAAGTGTGTGTGTGTGTGTGGGCAAAGACCCAGAATTTAATGACAATTGGTCTGCATCAGTCTCCCTTGATGAGCTTGATTACACACAGGCAAGCACCCAGTTCAGGTCGACGCTGACCAGGAGGAAGATATGAGTCAAGACAATTCCCTCTGCTGGCAGTGCGAAAAAAAAATGCTAAAATTGTTGAACAAATAATTAGAGTTTTTGTTCATTTTTCAAAAAAATGTAATAATAATTTAGCCTATATGCCTTCAAGTTCAAGATGAAAAAATAAGAATAAAAAAAGCGATTAAAAATATGCTAATTAAATGACGGGCAGTAATAAATTATGCCAAAATTTTTTACAACCCTCTCTGTCAACATGACGGACAATGAGGAAGTCTAACGTGACCTCTGTGCACATTTCTCTTTATTTTTAGTATTGAATAATGTATTTTTACCTGTACAGATTATAATTTATTATTTTTTTTTGAAAAAGGACAAACATTTTCCCAGTTTTCCCCATAAAATTAAGCTTTATTCAGTGTAATTTCTGTATTTATTTTTTAAATTTGCATAATTCCCTTTTTACCTATAAGTTACACCCGCATGAAGTCTCTATGAAGAACAAGTACTGCAATATTCTCTTTAATAAAACGTGCCCGGTGGTAAACGCAAATTTAAATCTTTTTCATATATATGTATTTCTGCCCCCACAGTTTGAGATGATCCCGATGAACTAGACAGTTTTATTATGGTGCTGCTTATAAAAAGTCCAATAAAGTGCATGTCCTGTGGCAGTGAGCGCGCGTTTTCTGCTCATTACAGAGCTTTTTCACCGGCTCATATTGAAGATCGCTTTACTGCCAGCACTTTTACACTCTGAGCCACCAGAGATCTTCTCCAACTTTAAAACTAGCTCAAAAAAAACAGCAGGATCGTGACCTTCTGCAGCGCCGCGAGCTCCTCAAACCGTGAAGCTCGACTTTACAAAAAAAAAGACAAAAAAAAAAAAAAAAACAGCAGTTCTGCGTGAAGCCTGTTGGCTTATTTTATTCGCTCTGTAACATTAACTTTCCACCAATCCAATTCAATATTTGCTGGAGTTATTGGATTTGCACAAATGCAGATGTTCACTGTGTGTGTGTGTGTGTGTGTGTGTTTAGAGAAAGTGATGCAACTGCAGCTGTACTAGAATGTCTTTCAAACTCATTCATTTTCCTTCGGCTTAGTCCCTGATTTATCAGGGGTCGCCACAGCAGAATGAACCGGCAACCTATCCAGCATATGTTTTATGCAGCGGATGCCCTTCCAGCTGCAACCCAGCACTGGTAAACACCCATACACCCTCCCATTTACTAGTTCACCCTGTTCATCGACTAGTTGGTGCAAGCCCTAGTTCTCATCACTGTAAGGCCCCATTTACTATAGTGCATTGTAGTTTAAAACGGCATTTTAGATCAAAAACGATCCGCGTCCACACTAGCGTTTCACTTAGCGTTTCTGAGCATATCTGCGTCCACACTATGCCACCAAAAACGTGCATCACGTGACCATTCGCACACTCTGGGCATGCGCGTTCTAGTATAAACAGAAAGCATGTGTCCAGGGGTCCGTTCTTCGTACGTGGATTACTCAGTTAGCTGGATTTGGATATTGACGATTTGACACGATCCAGGATCGTTTCGTTCTTCAAAGCTGATCCGAGAGTTGTTGTCATAGCAACAGTTCTGCTAGGTCAAACCTGATCGGGAGCAGGTTCAATTCATAAACAGGATTAGATCGGCTTAGTTCAAGCAAAGATAATACAGAAAGTATGTGCCGAATTCTGATATTTTCTTACAGTAGTAGTTATATACACTTGGGAAAATGGTACATATTTTTAAACTATATATAAAGTTATAGTCAATAATAAAATAAATAAAGTTATACATATTAATAAAACGTTTGCAATCTGCACCCTTAAAATTAAAGTACAAAGACTGCCACCTGTTGGTGCAAAGAGAAAACTTTGATATGAACTTTTTAGATCGCTTTAGTACAAATTGTGTATAATAGAAATGCAGAATATGTGACTTTTTTTTAAAGCAATAATACATTTATGCAGTCATAAACATGTTTTGATAGTTAATATGCCAGTAATTTGATGCTTCACAAAAGTTGCAGACGCCTTTACCAATATGAAAACGCTTTTGTAAACAACCAGTTATTCTTTACACCGATTAAAAAACGCCTACTATAATAAAGAAAATATTTTCTAAATGTAGAACTAAATACATTGATTTGCATTGAAATACATGATGAATACTCTCGACACATGAAAGTGTAAAGCCTGCAGCTCACAACAAATGTGGAAGGTTATTGCGTGTCATATTTAACAAGCCGTTTACTGCTAATTTGACGTAATTTTGCTCACATGGATAATTGAATATTAATCAGATGATGTCATTACGCTGCTGTGCCGTCAGCCAATCGTTGCACTGCTGATCATGATTTCGAGGATCAATAGATCTGTCCTTCACAACACTAATTAATAACTGCACAATGGCGCCTAAAACAGACAAAAGTGCAAACAACGCTCCCATTTCTGTGTCCATGTTGTTGTTTACAGTGAAGGCTGGTCGGCTGTCTTCCGATAGCGTTAAAGCCATGTGTTATAGTCATGAGATAGGGGCTTGACGAATTAGGAAAGGATACGCAATGACACAAAAGCCCTAATCAGGTAGCGAATCTCAGCAGCCCTTGCCTTTGTTGTCAGATGTCTCCGTTTTTCGGCATTTACACTGAGGCCATGTCTACACTAATCCGGATAAATTTGAAAACGGAGTTTTCCTCTAAAAACGCTTCACGTCCACACTGTCGTTTTTATTCGTTTTCCAAAACTTTGTCATCCACACTGAAACGGCTACAAATGCTTTCACCCTGTAGTGCGCATGCGTGAAACGTAAGACGCTTCGGCACGCGTCATTTCCGCCTGACGTTTATTTTCTTTCTGGCTCTTTGAAACGTTGTGGCAAAATGTCAAGGAAAAGCACAGAGTTTTTTAAATGGACTGACAATGAAGTGGAGTTGCAGCATCGAGTAACACATGAATAAAAAGTTGCAAAAGAGAGTGAAAATGTAGACTGGGAGACGTGCCAAAACAAATACACTGATATACTGGACCGCTTTAAAGAACAGTATCCTGCTGATGACGCTGCTTACCCTCACAGTAAGGACAACATCTCTAAACTCATAATCACAACGAAATTAAAGTAAACAAATTTGTCACATGACAAAAAAACGCATCATCGTTTTCGAAAGACTCGTTTTCGAAAGATTGCGTTTTCAAATTTATCCACTTTGGAGATCGTTTTCTAAAAAGATACGTTTTTGTTTCCTAAAAACGCATCTCAGTGTGGACGGAAGGGCAAAACGGAGACAATAATATGCGTTTTCAAATGAAAACGCACTAGTGTGGACATGGCCTGAGACGGAGCAGCAGCGTTTCAGAATGAAAACGGCCTCTCCAGCATTTCCAAAATGCTCCGTTTTCGGCTCTCGAAAACTCCAGTGTAGTGTGGATGCATGGCGTAACCATAGCAAAACTTATGCGTTTTAAAACTAAAACGCATTAGTGTAAACGGTACCTCAGTTTCTCTCTTTCTTTCTCGCAGTGTTTCCTTTTCATAAAGGACATGATCCAATGGTTCAAAAAATGAATGATTAACTACGATGTGTAAATTTGTGCACAGGAAAAAAGAAACGAGAAAAATCTGAGGCATGAATTTTTACCCTGTGCTTATTTTCACATCCCAATGTTAACAGGTTTGCCTTTCAGCTGCTAGTTAGCTTAATTTTCCCCAAAAGATTTGCGCATGGACTTGCAAACAAGCTTGAATCAAGTCTAAAAAAAGGCCCTTCCTCCTTAAGACTGAAGCAAGGCCTCTGTAAATCATCAAGCAGAGTCTCTGAAGTGTAAAGGAAACACATTAAGCGTTCGGTGTCACACAACACACATTAAAGTCTCTATACGCTTAATGAAGCGTCGTCTTTGCACCTGCTGCCACTAGGAAACTGCATTCGCCGGCTCTAATTAGCACGCTAGTCAAAGTGCAACGTTAATTCAGCTCGGTGTGCGTAAGGCTTGCAGTCAAGGGTGAAAACTACAAACGCAGAGGCGCAGGACCCCGCAGGGCCTGTATTAATGAGCGCTGTGTGGGATGGAGGTCAGTTTTTACCCGCTCCACGAAGTATTTGAGAGGCTCCCGTCCGCGCGGATCCGGCTCAGTCCAACGTAGCACAGCGTAGGTGTCGCTAAGCTCACAAACTTGCACCTCGGTTGGGGGAAACGGCACTCGGATTTGACCTGCAGACAAAAGAGATGCAGAATGAAGGAGGAGCGGGAGGGCAAGGGACTGATGGAGAACGGGTAAAGTTATGGTCATGCTATTTTTCAGTAGATATTGATCTTATTCTTGATGTACGAGCGTCCACAGCCATAGAAGTCTTTTTTTTTTGGCTCGAGACTTCCGCTCTCATTCACTTCTAGTAATTTTTAGACGTTAAAAACAGCTCGTTTTGCTGCTTGATGTTTTCTCATTATATTATTCCACTTATTGTGTATAGTCATGAACACACTTGTTTGTGGAGCGAGTAGTTTGACCGATTTCTGACAGTTATTATTTTAAGTCATTTCTCCCATGGGATACTGAATCGGAAGTTCTAAAACAATTTGCAGAATCGAGTGCACATATAATGCAGAATAAGGTCAATAAAACAAATGAAAATACATTATTATACAATAAACAAGTGATGTTTAATAGAGCAAGCATATTTGTCACCGTATTTCCTATTATTTGTTCTTTTTTTTATAGGAAAGATTTAGGATTAAGAATAGAGGAGGAGCAGGAGGGCGAGGGACTGATGGAGAACAGGTACAGTTTATGGTCATGCTGTTTTTCAGTAGATATTGACCTTATTCTTGATGTTCGAGCGTCCACAGCCATTGGAATCTTTCTTTTTGGCTCGAGACTTCCGCTCTCATTCACTTCCATTAATTTTTAGACATTAAAAACAGCGTGATATGCTGATTAAAGTTGCAAACTGATGTTTTCTCATTTTATTATTCTACTTATTGTGTATAGTCATGAACACACTTGATTGTAGAGCGAGTAGTTTGACCCTTTTCTGACAGTTATTATTCTTAGTCATTTCTCTTATAGGTGACTGAATTGGAGGTCCCAAAACAATCGCAAAAACGAGCGCACGTTCACATTGCAGAATAAGGTGAATAAAAACAAGTGAAAATACATTAATATACAATTAACAAGTGATGATTAATAGAGCAAGCATATTTGTCACCGTATTACCTATTGTGTTTCATTTCTTTAAAGGAAAGATTGAGGATTGAGAATGAAGGAGGAGCAGGAGGACGAGGGACTGATGGAGAACGGGTACAGTTTATGGTCATGCTGTTTTTCAGTAGATATTGACCTTATTCTTAATGTACAAGCGTCCACAGCCATTGAAATCTTTTTTTTGGCTCACGACTTCTGCTCTCATTCATTTCCATTAATTTTTAGACTTTAAAAACAAGTTAATATGCAGATTAATGTTGCAAACTGATGTTTTCTCATTTTATTATTCTACTTATTGTGTAAAGTCATGAACACACTTGTTTGTGGAGCGAGTAGTTTGACCGTTTTCTGATAGGTATTATTTTAAGTAATTTCTCCGATAGGAAACTGAATCGGCAATTCTAAAACAATTTGCAGAATCGATCGCACATATAATGCAGAATAAGGTCAGTAAAACAAGTGAAAATACATTAATATACAATAAACAAGTGATGTTTAATAGAGCAAACATATTTGTCACCGTATTTCATATTATTTGTTCTTTTTTTTTATAGGAAAGATTTAGGATTAAGAATAGAGGAGGAGCAGGAGGGCGAGGGACTGATGGAGAACGGGTACAGTTTATGGTCATGCTGTTTTTCAGTAGATATTGACCTTATTCTTGATGTTCGAGCGTCCACAGTCATTGGAATCTTTCTTTTTGGCTAGAGACTTCCGCTTTCATTCACTTCCATTAATATTTAGACATTAAAAACAGCGTGATATGCTGATTAATGTTGCAAACTGATGTTTTCTCATTTTATTATTCTACTTATTGTGTATAGTCGTGAACACACTTGATTGTAGAGCGAGTAGTTTGACCGTTTTCTGACAGTTATTATTCCTAGTCATTTCTCCCATAGGCGACTGAATTGGAGGTCTCAAAACAATCGCAAAAACGAGCGCACGTCCACATTGCAGAATAAGGTGAATAAAAACAAGTGAAAATACATTAATATACAATAAACAAGTGATGTTTAATAGTGCAAGCATATTTGTCACTGTATTTCCTATTATGTTTCATTTCTTTTAAGGAAAGATTGAGGATTGAGAATGAAAGCAGAGCAGGAGGACGAGGGACTGATGGAGAACGGGTACAGTTTATGGTCATTCAGTAGATATTGACCTTATTCTTGATGTACGAGCGTCCACAGCCATACAAATCTTTTTTTTTTTTTTTTTTTTGCTTAATACTTCCACTCTCATTCATTTCTATTCATTTTTAGACAATAAAAACAGCTCAACCAATTACTGGGAAACACCCATACACACTCACATTTACAGACACATTCATACACTACGGAAAATTTAGTTAATCAATTCTCCAATAGCGCATGTGTTTGGGTGCTCCAGCTTCCCCCACAGTCCAAAGGAACCCTATGCCAACACGAGGAGAACATGCAAACTCCACACAGAAGTGCCAACTGGCCCAGCCAGTACTCGAACCAGTGACCTTTTTGCTGTGAGGCCACAGTGCTAACCACTGTCACCCCAGTTTAATGTCATTTAAGATCAAATGAGTTATAAGCTTAATTTGATTAAGTAAGGCAACCACACTGTAAAAAACCCTGTTTGCTTTAAATTTTTTAAGATGAATCAAATTAACCCTATGAGTCCACTGAACTTATGTTATGTTAAACTGACTTAAAACAGCTTGCATAACTTATAAAATTAAGTTTGAACATGGTTAACTTAGTTCAGGGGTGTCCAAACTTGGTCCTGGAGGGCCGGTGTCCTGTTTAGCTCCAACTTTCTTCAACACACCTGTCTGGAAGTGTCTAGTATACCTAGAAAGAGCTTGATTAGCTGGTTCAGGTGTGTTTTATTGGGGTTGGAACTACTGTAAAATATGCAGAGCACAGGCCCTTCAGGACCAAGTTTGGGTACCCCTGACTTAGTTTATTGAGTTACAATAAAAACTTTCATGACTGATTGATCATATATTTTTTTTACAACACACTATTTCTTTAACAGTGCAGTTGATATGAAATTAACTACACAAGGCTTCTTTAATCTCTGAAAAATATAAACTTTACATGAGAGTTTTTCTTTTTACGGAGAATTATGACCTGAGATTCACACTTCCGCTTTAACTATTGATTTGTTGCTCACATTTCTTGTTCTCGAATGAAGCGCCTTGAAGAAGCGTCCAGCTGGGACAGTTATGATGATGAATGATGGGAGTTTCAGAGGGCAGATCTGATATAAAGTGTTCATTTACAGGTAAAGCCATAAAGACTGAGGAGCTTTTATCGGCATTAAAAAGATGATGATGATGAGCCTTTGGAGAGGGAAGATTTTTTGTGACGCTGCTTGTGCTCAAAACTGTCATGGCAACACTGGGGGATCACGGGCCACTGAGATTAGCTGCTAGACGGATTTTTGTGTGTGCGTGTGTGTGCGTGTGTGTGCGTGCGTGCGTGCGTGTGTGTGTGTGTGTGTGTCTGTGTTGGTGCATGGTTGTGTGTGAAAAAAAAAATAGTTATAATAATATTAAGGGCCGAGGCAGTGGCGCAGTAGATAGTGCTCAAACCTCGGCTCAGTTGGCGTTTCTGTGTGGAGTTTGCATGTTCTCCCTGCCTTCACGTGGGTCTCCTCCGGGTGCTCCAGTTTCCCCCACAGTCCAAAGACATGCGGTACAGGTGAATTGAGTAAGCTAAATTGTCCGTAGTGTAAAAGTGTGTGTGTGGATGTTTCCCAGAGATGGGTTGCGGCTGGAAGGGCATCCGCTGCGTAAAAACTTGCAGGATAAGTTGGCGGTTCATTTCGCTGTGGCGACCCCGGATTAATAAAGGGACTAAGCCGACAAGAAAATGAATGAATGAATGAATGAATGAATGAATAATAATAATAATAATAATAATAATAAATAGCAATAATAATAATAATAATAATAATAATACATATTAAAGAAAAATAAATAATAGTAAAAAATAAATAATAATAACAATAAAAATTATAAAAATAAATAAATAATTATAAACATAAATAATAATAACGATAATAATAATTACAATAAATAATAATAATAATAAATTAACAATAATAATAACTAAAAAATGTATAATCAAATAATAAAATAAAAATAATAAATAAATAATTAAATAAATAATAATAAAAATATATAAAAAATAAATAATAATAATTATACAATAATGATACAACAATAATAAAAACAATTATAATAATAATGCATGTTAATAATAAAATAATAATTATAATAATAAATAATAATACAAATAATAAATAATAATACAAATAATAAAAAATAATTAATAATATAAAAATAAATAATAATAATAAATAATAATATTAGCATGTTACACCTATCTTGGAAATATTGCACTGGCTTCCTGTGAATTTTTCATATTAATAATAATAGTAATAATAATAATAATAATAATAGTGATAATAAATAGTAGTAGTAGTAATAATAATAATAATAATAATAATAATAATAATAATAATAACAATAATAAATAGTAATAATAATAATAATAATAATAAATATTAATACAAAATATAATACTAATAAATAATAATAATAAAATAATTATAAAACATAAATAATAAATAATAAATAATAAATAATAATAATAATAATGATAATAATAAAACAATGATAATAACAAAAAATGTATAATAAATTAATAAAAAAATAAAAAATTAAAAATTAAATAAATTATAAATAAACAAAAATAAAAACAAATAAATAAAAAATAATAATGATACAATAATACAACAACAACAACAACAACAACAACAACAACAACAACAATAATAATAATACATATTCATATTAAAACAATAATAATAAAAACATAATAAAAATAAATAATAATAATAAATATTAAAAATAATAAAAATAAATAACAATTAAAAACAACAATAATAAATAACAATAATAATAATAATAACAACAACAACAAAAATTAAATCAAATACTAAAATAAAAATAATAAATAAATAAATTAAACAAATAATAAATTAATAAATATTAAATATAATATTAATAATAAATAAATAAATAAATAAATAAATAAATAAATAAAAATAACAATAAAAGATAAACAATGTAATAAAAAATTCAACCAAATATTCTGACTATGAGCAGCACAGGAGCATGTTACACCCATCTTGGGAATATTGCACTGGCCTCCTGTTAGTTTTTAATATGAATTTTTAAATTCTCATGCTTACTTATATGGACTTATACGGAATGGTCTGACACCTTAATATTTGCCTGAGCTTTTGATCCCTTACACCTAGGCAAGAGCTCTATGCTTCTCTGCTACATTAAAAAGTTAAAGTAAAAGCTTCGGGTGAATGAGCCTTTTCTGCAGTAGCATTTAAAAAGTGTAATTCTCTGCTTCTGATTTATTATATTTTATGCAGATACACTACAAAATCATCCTAAATTATCTAAAAAATTATGAATTGCTTTTAAATAGAACTGTTAAATTCATCTAACGAATTAAATAGTGTTATACCAAACTGAGGTGAAGCTGTTTTTGAATCTGCCACTATGCTTACTCATAGGCATTTGCAGCTCCGCCCTCGAGAGAGCACAATCTCATTTAAATTTAAAGAGACAGTCATCAAAACGCCACAACTATGATAAAAAAATTATCAAAAAGAGTCAGTTTCAGTAAGTTACAAAACATTATGCATGTGATATTTTGAGCTGAAACTTCACACACACACACTCCAGAGACATTATCAACTGAGATATCATGCAACGTTATAATCTACTCACCCTCCAGCTGGTCTTTAGTGATCACGATCTGTCTGCCGCGCTCCACCTTCACCACTGGAACACACAGAGATCAGCAGGAGATCTTAGATATGAAGAATCTGCAGGTGCCATTTAGACACTCTTACCCATAGTCCTGCTGGGCTCCAGGGGGTCAGAGGTCAGGATGGGCTCGCTGGGTTTAGACGGACGTCCCACACCCGCCTGATTGACGGCACACACTCTGAACTGATACATGGTGTTCTCCTTCAGGCCCATCACAGGATACTGACACACTTTCTGGATGACATCATTACAGCGTTCCCACTTCCCAACACCGATGTCACACCTGTAGGAGAAAACCGACTACAGTTAACATTTATAACAAACATTAGCATGGCAGAAGACTGATGACCAGTTTATGAGTTTATTATGAATCAGAGCTTTGGATCCCTATATCAGTGCTCTGCCAGAAACTTCATAGCAATGCATTAAAGTCTGCATGAAATCAAAGTTTGCTCTTATTATTTTACATGTATATAGAAAAGCTTATTAACTGTTAACAGTCGAAACTTTTGGGATAATTTACAGTTTGAACCCACGACCAGTCTGTCAAATGAAGAGCCGGAGTCTGAGATTCAAATAAATAAAGTTTACTGAAGATAGTTTGCAGTTTTCCCTAAGTCCTTTAAGGTGGGGTTATAAGTCCTTTAGGGCGGGGCTATCATTCTTTTGGGTCGGGCTATAAGCCATTTAAGGTGGGGCTATCAGTCCTTTAAAGTGGGATTATAAGTCCTTTAAGGCAGGGCTATCAGTCCTTTGGGTCCGGGCAATAATCCATTTAAGGTGGGGCTATCAGTCCTTTAAGGCAGGGTTATAAGTCCTTTAGGGCGGGGCTATAAGCCATTTAACGTGGGGCTATTAGACTTTTAAGGTGAGGTTATAAGTCATTTAGGACGGGGCTATCAGTCCTTTGGATCAGAGCAATAAGCAATTTAAGGTGGGGCTATCAGTCCATTATGATTGGGTTATAAGTCCTTTAGGGCGGGGTTGTCATTCCTTTGGGTCAGGGCTATAAGCCATTTAAAGTGGGGTTATCTGTCCTGTAAAGTGGGATTATAAGTCCTTTAGGGCAGGGCTATTAGTCCTTTGGGTCGGGGCAATAATCCATTTAAGGTGGGGCTATCAGTCCTTAAAGACAAGGTTATAAGTTCTTTCGGGCAGGGCTATCAGTCCTTTGGGTCAGGACTATAAGCTATTTAAGGTGGGGTTATCTGTCCTTTAAAGTGGGATTATAATTCCTTTAAGGCAGGGCTATTAGTCCTTTGGGTCGGGGCAATAATCCATTTAAGGTGGGGTTATCAGTCCTTTAAGACAGGGTTATAAGTCCTTTAGGGCGGGGCTATCAGTCCTTTGGGTCAGGACTATAAGCTATTTAAGGTGGGGCTATCAGATTTATAAGGCGGGGTTAAAAGTCCTTTAGGGCGGGGATATAAGTCGTTTGGGTTGGGGCTATAAGCCATTTAAGGTGAGACTATCAGTCCTTTAGGGCAGGGCTAGAAGTTCTTTTGATTTGGGGCTTTAAGCTATTTAAGGTGGGGCTATCTGTTCTTTAAGGCAGGGCTATAAGTCATTTGGGTCAGGGCTATAAGCTATTTAAAGTGGGGTTATTATTCATTTGGGTTGGGACTATAAGCCATATAAGGTGGGGTTATAAGTCCTTTGGGTCGGGGCTATCTGTCCTATGGGTCAGAGCTGTAAGCCATTTAAGGAGGGGCTATGAGTCATTTAAGGCGGGGTTATAAATCCTTAAAAATTGGGTTATAAGTCCTTTATAGCAGGGCTATCAGTCCTTTGGGTCGGGGCTATAAGCCATTAAAGGAGGGTCTATAAGCTATTTAAAGTGGGGCTATAAGTCCTTTAAGCTTGGGTTATAAGTCCTTTAGGGCAAGCTGTAAGTCCTTTGGGTCGGGATTATAAGCCATTTAAGGTGGGGCTATCTGTCCTTTAAGGCGGGGTTATAAGTCCTTTAGGGCGGGGCTATCAGTCCTTTGGGTCGGGCCTCTGTTAATGAGCTGATGAACTGAATCAGGTGTGTTAAGTAAGGCATACAAAATGACATCCAAAATGTTCAGGGCAGGAGGTCCTGGGGACTGGAATTAGAAACCACTGATTTAAGCGGGGCTATCAGTACTTTAGACTGAATTTGGATTGCAATTCCTAGCTCAACCACTAGTCAATCCTCAATCCTAGTTATCAATGTCAACCCAAGTTATGTGCCAAATGTGCATAAACATATGTGCTGGGAAGCATAGCTGTTGAAGCATAAAATTACATAACCAAATCATTTTCACTAGTGGTCTCAGACTTGTCATAATAAGATGCATTAATCTGAAACATCCAAACACAAGCCAACAAGACAGAAACTGGCAGAATAAAGCGCTGCAGACTGAAGCTGCATGTTGCTAGGAGACAGGGAGGTTATGCACTTGTGCGCTCTTCACCATGGTGATGTCTTTTATTTCAAGTTTTATCCCTATAAAAACAGCCCGGCTCTCGCTTCACCTCTCTATGAAGTAACCCTGAACCGCGGCGGCTCCGTCTGCGCTGGGAGGAATCCAGGAGAGGAACACATAATCCCGGTTCACATCAGAACACTTCACCTGCAGAGGAGAACCTGGAGCGCCCACCACCACCGCGGATCCATCTGAACATGAGGAAAAATCACAGCTCTTCATTATTTCTCCCACAGCAGACGGCACTGAGCCTGAATTGGAATGTTTTGATAATGAAAACAAGGTCCTTGCAATTACATGCACTCTTATGTTCCCACAAATAATAACACAGTATAGTGTAGTAAAGTACTATAGTGTTTTTTAAACATACTATAATAGAGTGTATTAGACTGTTTACATTATAGAACATACAACTCTTTGTTATAAATGCTGTATTATTCATATATAGCGAAAATATAGCGAATAAATATTGTAGTATGCTATTGGTTTTTACTAAACTAAACTGGTGTATTGTACTATAATATACACTCACTGGCCACTTTATTAGGTACACCTCACTAGTACAGGGTTAGGCCCCATTTTGCCTTCAAAACTGTCTTAATCATTAATGGCGTAGATTCAACAAGGTACTGGAAATATTCCTTATAGATTTTGCTCCATATTGACATGATAGCATCATACAGTTGCAGATTTGTCGGATGCACATCCATGATGCGTTCCACCAAATCCCAAAGGAGCTCTATTTGATTGAGTTCTGGTGACTGTGGAGGCCATTTGAGTACAGTGAACTCATTGTCATGTTCAAGAAACCAGTCTGAGATGATTCACGCTTTATGGCATGGCGCGTTATCCTGCTGGAAGTAGCCATCAGAAGATAAGTACACTGTGTTTATAAAGGGATGGACATGGTCAGCAACAATACTCAGGTAGGCTGTGGCGTTGACACCATGCTCAATTGGTACAAGTGTGCCAAGAAACTATCCCCTAAACCATTACACTACCACCAGCCTGTTGACACCAAATTCTAACCCGACCATCCGAATGTGTCAGCAGAAATGGAGACTCATCAGAGCAGGCAACGTTTCTCCAATCTTCTATTGTCCAGTTTTGGTGAGTCTGTGTGAATTGTAGCCTCAGTTTCCTGTTCTTAGCTGACAGGAGCGGCACCCGGTGTGGTCTTCTGCTGCTGTAGCCCATCCGCCTCAAGGTTGGACGTGTTGTTCAGAGATGCTCTTCTGCAGACCTCGGTTGTAATGAGTGCTTATCTTGGTTACTGATGCCTTTCTATCAGCTGGAGCCAGTCTGGCCATTCTCCTCTGACCTCTGGTATCAATAAGGCATTTGCGCCCACTGAACTGCCGCTCACTGGATATTTCCCAGTGTTGCCAGATTGGAAATGTCAAAGTATCGAACCAGAACCTCAAAATGATCGTATTTGGAGGAAAATTATCGTACACGAGTCAAACTGAGAGTATACAGCTATTATCTAGACCAGTGGTTCTCAAACTTTTTTCACCAAGTACCACCTTAGAAAAAAATTGTCTCTCTAAGTACCACCTTACGACGCTATTTTTTAACCAGTATTAAAAAATAGCATCATAGGCCTAATTAAGCAGCTACAGGTGTGCACAGTTTAAAAACGATGCAGATTAATTACTATTATTAAGAATATGTATTATTATCAGTCACTTTAAACATTTGAAATAGTCTGAACATTAATAGTGCTTGCAGATTAAAAAAAAAAAGTTTTTGTTAAAATGTGCTTTTAAAAGTTCATTAAAAAATGGCGTTGTTCTTAAAAAGTAAAAAGAAAACTGCTGTACTTAAATCTAAAGTATTCATTGTAGCCTATTCATCAAAAGCTGGAGATGTTGCTTTTACTTTATAAATATAGGCTATATGTCATATTCCTACACTTTCAGACAAATCTTGAAATAAATGTTAAATGTACATATGACAGGGTTCATACAGGCACAACCTAATGAAAATCAATTCCAGCACCTATTTTTTTTTTCAAGACTGACATGTATTGAAGACCTGAAAAGTATTCTCAACAACCCATAAAACATTGCAAAGGAATAGATACAAATAAAAACCATTAATAATAATATTTATTAATCATATATTAATAATATAATAAACCTGCACTAAATGCTTGTGAAATTTTTTTTGTACTCAAGTAAAAATACTATTACGCTGCTAAAATAACACAAATTTTAGTAAATAATATTAATATTAGGTAAAAGTACAAAGTACTCTTTTAAAAAGTACTAGTTGGTTACTTTTGAAAAAAAAATCTGATTTTCATTTTGAAATCACTTTTTTTTTACTTGGAAACCTGATTGAATGGTTTAATTGCTTAAATCCCAAAGCTACATGTATAGGAAATTGCACTAACAAAGTATGGTCGATTTTTCCTTTCATGACAATTAATCTTTTTCAACAGCACTGGTAAAACTACCAAATAATCTTTAAGGCCATAGAGACACTTTTTGCCCATTTTTTAAACGATATTTACAAGCTTTGAAAGGTTTAATTGAAGTATATGGTAAAAAGATTTAAATTTAGCCTTTTATTTACATATTTTACACAATTTTTCTTTACAATATGGCAAATTTGTTTCTTAAAAAGCTGTACATGTAGATTTTATTTTACATTTAACCTAATCTAAAATAGAAACTTAAAAAAAAAAAATACAAGTACACTGTCAGTAAAAAAAAATTAAAATAAACAAATGACTTCATTTTACTTGAGGTATTTGAAATGACAACACTACATTAATCAAAGCAGTGCTTTAAGAGCCTTATTGTTAATTTTGATAAATAAACAATAAGTAACAACGGATTGCTTTGACCTGTAATGCTTTAAGACAGATCAGAATACAGCTAAATGTATAAATCACACAAATACCTCATCCAGAAACATTTCCAGCATAATTATTTTGTCGTAAAGAAAAAAAATAAAAAAATCCACCTTTGCTAAAAGTAAGTTTCACTTCACAACACAGCCAAATAAGAAGACCATTAGCATTGTCATCGATCATGCATCAATCTATTTCTAAATACTTAATAACTTTGAATACTTTTGACTAAATTTAGTCAAGGAACAAAGATAAATAATGTCTACTTTAATAGTGGAAAGATCGCGATTGTATTCAATCTGAGCACACAGGCGATCCTGAGAGGACTTGCAGTTCATTTGGGGAAAAAAAAGCCTATTTAACAGCTCACATATCTGTTTTAGCGATTTGTGTACATGAATGCGCTCTCTCGTGTTAAAATAAAGCACTCGCCACATATGTAGAAATGAGTTATTGCGCAATACCTCCATTCCCGCGCCGCCATTCAGACTGTATTTAGAGGAGGGACAGGTCAGAGGCGAGAGACTGGCTGTCGGAGAGCGAAACGTGTTTGTAGATCATCAAAAAGGCAGGAAATATGTCCGCGGTTTAATTACTCTGCTAGACATCTCTATAGTGAAAACATCCGAGAAGCATTAATCTAACAAAACATTTGTTTTTAAGTTGTTTTTTCTGTCTCTGCAACACAGAAAGCATTTGTCCCGCCCTTACGTTTCACGCAACTAGACAAGGTCGACTGTGATTGGCCACTTTTCATGTCAGTCAAATCACGCTTCAGAATCAATTCTTAAACTTCGGGAAATTATTTATAACAGCTTATGACACAATGCACTAAAATAAACATTCTAAGCACAGCGTTGTGATCGTACGCTTCACAAAACAGCCAATGCTGATCACATCGATGTTATATTACGCATTAAAGGATTAAAAGTGTTAATTGTTTCTTTCATTATTCAGCGGTTCCTCCGCGTACCACTAGGAGGAAGCCCGCGTACTACTAGTGGTACGCGTACCACAGTTTGAGAACCACTGATCTAGACACATAGCGTTTTGACACAACGTGCAAATTACCAAAATACGTTTGGTATTCAGTATACAAACTGAAAACTACTGACCTAACCATGGGCACGCGCAGCAGGAGCGCTAACTCCACGTTGATTGGCTGAGAAAAGGCAACGAAAGATGAGATAGAAAACGTGCCTAACTCCACCTACTCCTCACAGACAGTACAGAAAAGATGCAGCTAGATCAATAAGTAAAGAAGCCCGAAGATTACAATGAAGTTACTTTTAAATGCCTTAAAATTCTGAAATTATCGTACATTATAGGATTTTTCTCATTATTGATCGTACATCGTTGTTGTAAATGAGGGCGATGCCAATCCTCTTGTGCACCACCAGAGGGAGCCATCGCCCGAATTCTAATTCGACTCACGGACTCAAATTCCCATAAGCCCTGCTACCTGGCACTGATTGCGGTCCAGGTGCCTCTCATCATCTCAGCTTATTTATACCACACTCACGCTCTGGTTCTTTGCGAAGTCTTGATTTGCCCTGCCGTAATTTTTAAGCGTTCTATACTCCACTTCCCGGATTGATCTGTGCTTCTGACCCTTTGCTCGACTCTACGATTAAGAAAGACATCTGCTTGCCCCTGATCTCCAGCCTGTTATTCTGACGAAGTAAGATATCTGCCTGGCTTTGAACTCTTGCCTGTCCCTCGTTTTGATTCCTGGATTGCCCCTTGTTATTGTTTGTATGTGTGCTTTTAATAAAGCTTGCAAATGGATTCAATGCCTTCTGACTCATCACAACAATCGTACAGAGGTCGAAATTATCGTACAAATACGATAATTGTCGTACGTCTGGCAACACTGATATTTCCTCTTTTTCTGATATTTCACTTTTGTCAATTGGTGAAGTTTGTTCCTCACCACTGTCTCACTTGATTTGGTACATGTGGAGTTACGTATTGATGGATTTGCTCTTCAGTGTTTGGACTTTCATGATTATAAAACCACACTGAACTGAACTGAACTCTGAAAACTAGACTTTAATCGAACGTCCATGTGAATCTGCTTTGACACAATCTACATTGTAAAAGTTCTATAGAAATGAAGATGAACTGAATTAAATAATATTGAGATATAATATTTATTTATATATTTATTTTACAAATATAGCCATTAATTTAGTAGAAAATGTATTTTATTAAAAAATAATTAGGTCTCCATTTAATGAGCAACTCATTACCCAGATAGCAGGCAGTAATCGGCCCGAGCTCGGCTGCCCCCCGGCGCCTCCGGCTCCGACTCGGCATCGGCGAGTGTTA